GATAACCTAGATTGTGGAACAACGCAATGAACTGACAGTCAGTTTTAAAACAACCACCAAGTTATTCTCAAATATTAAACATCTAAAATGAAAACCAATTATAAGCCTAGAAACCTCACAATGGCTATGGAAATGTGAATTTAAAGTTTCCGAATGGCACACAAAGAGCGCGAGAATTTAACTTCTTTCTCCTTCATAGCCCCCTGTCTTGACTATCTTCAGACGTTAACACCGAAAGGACACGGTTCATAAGTTGATAAGTTTAAAAAGCTATCAACTGAGTTTGTTTAAAGCTACCCACCCTTTCTGTACGTTGTTGTGCTAGACCTAGCATGAACATTTTTCATTTGGCAACATTTGCTCTTATAAATTCATAGATACGATTAAATGAAAGCCTCTTTGGGACAAAATGGTAGACACCGATCACTGGAATGCATCATAATCACTGGAATAAAATAATAATCACACACACCAAAGATATATTAAATAAAACGACGCATAAGATAACCAATACTAGGCTTGTATTAACGCGTTCTTCAGATGATCAGGAACAATGCGAATAGATCTTAAGTGTCATTGTCAGAGAAAACCGGGCAGTACCAAACGATCGAGGTCCGCCGTTTACCTTCATCTTTTCACAGTATAAAAGCTATCCAAAAAGATTAACAACCATGACATCTGCCGAGGTAGGCGTTCTTTTTTCTTCGAGATATCAGCACATAATGATTTTGGGCTCTCAAGGGGTCGAAAATGGCCGAAATTTCGGGCAACTTTAGGTGAGCCTAAAAGAAACTTCATACAAATTCCAGAAACTATTATTTTCGTGCGATAATATATGTCTATTTATTAGTTCACTGAGATATATTTGTGGAATTTCTCTTTAATTCGACGGTTTTCACAAGGCTCCAAATATCGCCGCCGAATCGTTAATTAGCGCGACCCAAATTTTAGCCATTTTCAGCGAGTCGTTTTTCAAAAGTGCGGCAGTTTATTTCCACAGAAAAACAATTTTGTGATAGTCTCTTGCACTGTAATCAATATTCAGTTTAGTTAAAATTGGTATCTCCAGGAAAATCGGAGTGATTGGTCTCGAAAAGTCCAAAAAAGATCACTAGTCATAAATATTTCCCGCCAAATGTTTAGCGAAGAATATCACCTCACTCCGACTTTCTGCGATTGTTATCCATGATTTGCTGAAAGATCTGCAAAAAATAGTTAGCTGGACTGCAGAAGAGAATTTTTAAGCTGTGACATCGTTATCAAGCTAAGTGAACATTTCAAACTCGCCAAATCCTTACCATTATCTAAGCTAAATTTTCCCGCGAAAATCTATTTTTAACGTCACGCTGCATGGAAAAACAAAGTGGATCCTCAGTTCGCTGGTCTTTTTCGCTGTTGTGTAGAACAAACTTCAAGTTAATGCTGAGCGAACCTTTACCATAAATTTAATATTGGGACTTCTGCAAACCCCTTGTTTACATCTATTTCTCGTTTTCGGAAGGCGTAACGCGTCACAGATTAAAAGACTTCGAAATGCGGATCTTACCTAAAGGTTCCTCCTGCATTATTTGGAGTATGGCCGCCATGTTGCGCGACCTCGCTGCTAACCGGCCTACGAAAGGATTATAAAGGACAGACGACTGGAATAAACATCTCAATACGTGTAATTGTTGCTAGGTCAGGATTCCCAGCGGAAATCTTTCTTTGCCTTCATTGTTGTCGTTTGTCAGATCGTCGCAGGTTTGTACATCGTCTTGTTTTCCGTTTCATTTCCTTCCTTTATTACCTCGTGCATGCGATTTACGTCACAGGTTAGTACACCGTGTTGTTTTCTGCTCTGAAACGTTTATTTTCAACTCAAGTAATTTAATGTTGCTCTTGTCAATATCTGGAATTTGTATCTTTTAGGCTCACCTAAAGTTGCCCGAAATTTCGGCCATTTTCGACCGCTTGAGAGGTCAAAATCATGATGTGCTGATATCTCGAAGAAAAACGAACACTTACCTCGGCAAATGTCATGGTTGTTAATCTTTTTGAATAGTTTTTATACTGTGAAAAGATGAAGGTAAACGGCCGACCTCGACCTTTTGGTACTGCCCGGATTTCTCTGGCAATGACACTTGAGGCAAAATTACATTTTTAAGCGATGACGTATTGTGTGACGTTATCGCTTTATGCTGGCATGCATGCATTCCTTTGAATAGTGATTTCGCATAGTTTGTCGCGCTTATGTCCGTGCGCTTATGTCGCGCACTTTTTATTCCCCTGTGGAAGCAAAATGCACTCTGGGAGTTCCTTTGCTACTTTCCTTTGCTGTTTGTAGGTTCAGCGGAGTGCTTTTAATTGGAGCTTTTAAAAGAAGATTTAGGGGTGGATTTTGGTTTCAACAGTATTGGATAATTTTGCGTTCACGGGCAAACTCATAATAAGAACATATCCTCCATACAAGTTTAGACAGACAAGTAAGTCGCACAGGCGATAGGTGAAGGCTTTGCGGCTTTCCTTTGCTGTTTGGAGGATCAGCAGACTGCTTTTTATCGATGTGACAAGTATACAGTTAAAACAACAAATTAATTTCCGGTGAGGTAATTAACTTTGGCAAATATCTTTAAAGATAATAAGATGATTTCAGAGAGAGGAACTTTTCAGCGGATCGAGTGCTTTTTATTTGGGTTGGTACATTTCGCTGACCCGTAGCACATGGACTAACAAGATGGACCTGGTACATGAACTACTTGAATGAACCACCAATGGACTAGCCTAAATGTAAAACCCTAAAATTTCTAACCCAAGAGTTTAAGAATCAGTTTGTCTGCTCGTGTTCCAATCTTCTAGGAACAATCTTTAAACGTCATCGCTTCTGCATGCATTGCGTGCCGTTTATTTATATACATTATAAGATACTACTTATAAGGAATAGAAAACATCTACCGTGTTTCTATCGAGTTGATAGAAAGACTCGTGAAAGTTTGAGAGAACTCGAAAAAGCTGTGGAGACACGAGCCTGTCGGCTCGTGTTTCCACAGCTTTTTCGGGCTTTTTTGTTTCACAGCTTTTTCGAAAGATTTTTCGCTTTTTCGAGCTTCTTCGTTCCACAGCTTTTTCGAGTTCTCCCAAACTTTCACGAGTCTTTCTATTAGACAGTTAGATTATGAGCTCGAGATTTCTATTTAAACAATGGAGTGTTTCTGTCGAGGAACTA